GATAGGCCACATCCCATAGCAAGGCCATCCGGTTGTTCGTGATAATTAAGGTGATATTGTTAAAAGTAAAGAAATTTTGTGCACATTTGACAAGTTAAAGTCTTCAAGTGTCGCTTGTCACCACTGTCATGTGGAAACGGTTAAACAACTTGAACCAAAATGAAGAGAGAAATTTAAATTTGAAAATATTAATATTAATAAAATTATGATTTAGCAAGTTGTAAATATCCCGAAATATATAATTTTGGGAGTGAGGATGACCAGGAACTTGTTGGATACGTTGTGGACAGTAGGTAGACTTTTTCATAATTATAATGTATATAAAATATATAAAAAAACCTTCAGTTTTTTTACTTTGGCCTTCTGCGTTTTACTTTCTTCATATCAAATATTGTATTCTAGATTCAAATTTAAATATATCTTCCACAGTCACCCTCTAATTGTAAATTTCTTTAAATTTTAACTAATTTGTTAACCTTTTTTCAATTTTGTGAATAGTGAGGGTGGCATGATTCCTTAATTCCACACAAGCTAACTTGCTTCTGGAGATCAGATTTGATTTGTAAGGGCTTATCACACACTCACTATTCCCAATACCAGTTTTTTGTCACTTTGTTTCTTGTAATTTTTAATTTGTTCAAACAATTGTATATATACTATTTTAACTTTTGACTTAAAAGTCTAATTCAGATTTTATAATATATTTTTTAAAATCTTTTTAAATTGTAAGTTTACATCCACAATTTTTGTAGATGAGCACTGATGATGGCAAATAAGCCGAAAGCGCTTTGCATTGATTAATAAAAAAGTTTTGCACGAAATACAAGTTTTTCCTTTTGAATCTATTACTGTTTTATTCTAAAATAAAATATATACAATTTTATAGAAACTAAATTTTAAGCAGTTATTTTGTAATTGTATGAAATTCCTCTTAAAAATTCAATATTATTCCTATCATTTGCGCCATGACCATTATTGTAATCTTCAATCATTTTTTTTATTCTTTTATCAGCCTGGATATATTTTTGTTTATGCAAGTAAGTGCTCATAAGCAACATCTCTCCTCCGTTGGACAGTTTTCAGGCTGTTGATGAATTTCCAAATGGTTGGATGGTTCATCGACAGCTCTGTTTGTAGCCTTCTGTGTGCTGCCTATGCATGGTTTTTTGTTAACTGTCAACAAGGCCTATAATTGTTCTTCTGTAAATAAAATTACGAAAAAATGTTTCACTGATATTCCCTGAATAAAATTATTAAATTGTTGCCCTTTCCATTTTTTTTATATATATAGCATCCAATTTTTGAATGGAATCGATGAAGTCATTGGAAATATTAGAGCACCTATTTTCGCTTGACATTTTCTGCAAAAGCAATAAAGTCAAGGCATCATTCATATTCCCATAGAAGATCTTTATTTGCTCCTATCAACATTAAATATTTTTTCTTTTTCGATTGGCCAACAATGTTCAAGATCTTTTTTAATAGCATCGCGTTCCTTCCCTTTTATAAATCGCCGATGAATTTCTCCTCCATTATGATTGATCTCTAAATACACGCACTACTAAAGATCTAAACGGAAGAACGAGTGAATTGCATAAAAATTTAAATAGTTGAACACAAGATGAGTGTTTGTATCTTGCAGAAGCTTGAAAATAAATACATTTTCTTCCCCCTTTTTTATTACATATATGCAAATCAAATTTATGCACACATGTAATTTTTTTGGAATATTTTTACGAAACTTTCCCCCCAGTCGGTCTTAAGTTGACCAAAATTCTTGTGGAAAAACTAATAAAATATCTTCTATTAATTCATTTATATTTTTGCTTCTTTGTGTTTTTCTTTTCGATAATAAATCCGAACATATGGACTTGCCTTTTAGGCACTTAATTGTATAATATGTGGGTGAGAGTTTTTTATGGCCATATTTAATCGTGATTCCAGCCTTAGACGAAGTTGTTTGTTCGATGCTTTTAACTAAAAATGTTCCACATATCAATGTCTAGGACTGCATTTTCCCTCCATTGTTTAATGAAATAATCTTGAAAGTGCTGCAACTTTGAAGTAGTAGCGTCACCTTCCATAATGCTTAACAAACCATTTTATAGTTCCATGGGAGGAATATATGCTAATGCTGCACACATACGTATATGTAACCTGACTTCCGCATTTTGTTTATATTATTCGGTCAGCCCCAACTCTTGTACTTTCCTCCTTAAGCATTGATTGAAATGAAAGTTGCAACCACTAATTCTAATGTTTGAAAACTTGCTTCTCAAAGCTGCTATTGCAGCCATTTCAAAGTCAATTTTTACTGTTTTCGGCGACTACCTGGGAAGTTTTTCTTTTATTATTTCACACAATCTAATATATGTTTTCTTCTGCTTGTTTTGCAGTAGCGCAAACATTACAGGAACTATGTTCGTTTCGGTGCAGTTGCTTCCTATGTCTACATGAAACTAATATAATTGCGAGAATTGTTTACAGCAACTTTTGGAAGTTCCGTCTATATTGTTTCGGCTGTACTGAGTAGAATTTGCCCACTATCGGATGAAAACGCCATTATTCTGTACCCTGGCTTATCATCAGCCATCTGCCATCGCATAAATATCGTCTGGAAGGACAATTTCTTTCTCACTCGATGTTTCTTTAAGCGACCCTCGTGCAGCATGTCGAATCCGGTTGACTATTCTTTTGACAGATGAATACGACGGAACAGCAGCAATCAATCAATCAATATATGTTTATTGTCAAAGCTACAAGAACTTATAGACAAACACTTATAAATATAATTATTATGCAGTACTTACAATTACATGCATAAAAATTTAAAAATTGTATAAAAACGTTAAATATAAAATTAGAGGTTAATTACAAATGCAAATACGTAACACAACATCGATAAAATTATATAAATACAAAAACATGTACGTTCAAACAGTCACAACTATTTAAGAGTCATTGTAAAATTCCGTCAAAGCATAATATGCTTTTGTCATCAACATATCTCTAAGCAGTATTTTAAATGTTGTGACCGTTTCCGTCGATTTAATATCATTTGGCAACTTATGGTACATTTTAATCCCATTAAAAATGAAAGAGCCCCTTACCAGTTCAGATTTGGGTATGGGCAACCGCAGGTTGTCAACTTGTCGCGTTAGCCGAGCGTTAGTATTGGCATAGTTCGATTTATTTTTATGTATAATACAAGTGGTTTCAAGAATGAACAACGATGTTAATGTTAAAATTTCATGTCTAATAAAATGTGGCTGACATGACTCAAGCTTGTTCATTCCACATAAAAATCGTATTGCTCTCTTTTGCAGACAAAAAACAGTATTGAATAATTCGCGGCTGCAACCTCCCCAAAATGCAATTCCATATCTCAAATGGGACTCAACTAGGGCGTAATACACAATTTTTGATGCCTTAAAACCTAGTTCTTTTGCCACAGTTCTGACTGCAAAACATCCAGAAGAAAGTTTTCTGTTTAACAATTCTATATGGTTTCTAAATTTCAAATTATTATCTAAATTAATTCCCAGAAATTTTATTGTGTCAGTACATTCAATAATACGACTTCCCAACTGAATATTTGGTAGGGAACATTTAAGGGTTAGCATTTTAGTTTTTCCCATATTAAGACGCAAATAGTTGGCATCGCACCATGCTTTGATTTTCTTAATGTCACAGGATATGGTGTTGTATAGGACAGAAGTGTCATTGCTGTGCCATAAAATCGTAGTATCATCTGCAAATAGAGTGAAAGTACCTGCAATTTCAAGTTGAGCTAATTCATTCACATATAGGAGAAATAAAATGGGACCTAACACAGAACCCTGAGGGACACCCCAACTAATATCTAAAACTTGAAAATCATGAGACGCTCTTACCATTTGCTTACGTTCTGAAAGATAAGATTTTACCCAACTCAGCGCTCCGTTTATGATCCCGTAAACTCGAAGTTTATCCAACACTACTGTATGATTGACGCAATCGAACGCCTTAGTTAAATCACAGAATATCGCTGCTACAGAATCGTCAACATTACTTCTAGAATGTTTAAGCATGTTCAAGATAAGAAAATATCGCATCAGAAGTACTTTTGTTCCTTTGAAAACCAAACTGTTGTGTTTCCAGCAATTTGTGAGTTTCTAGATAATGAATCAAACGTTTTTTTACAACTTTTTCAATAATTTTGGCCACTGTAGGAATGAGAGATATAGGCCTGAAGTTCGAAGGATCGTAGTTACTGCCGCCTTTATGTATGGGAACAATAACACTGGTCTTAAGAAATGACGGAAAATTTGATTCAACGAAACTTTGGTTGATCAGACTAGCAAGGACTAACATTGCTGATTCAGGAAGGTTTAGGATAACTCTAATAGAAATATCATACCCAGCACCATTTTTGTTTTTAATATCTGAACATATTTCCATTATTTCAAAACATGTTGTAAAACTTAGAGTAAAGTTGGAGTTAACATGGGTATTTTTTAAATAATCTAAAGGATCAACTGACGATCTGAAATTATTAGTCAGATTTTCAGCAATTGAGCAATAATACTGATTAAATGTTTCTGAATCGATGTAGTTCTTAACGGATTTGGAATTTTGTTTATTTTTCAATTCATTAATAATATTCCAAGTTTCTTTTACTTTATTATTAGATTTTTCAATTCTAGAATAATAGTATATGTCCTTAGCTTTTTTAATAACAGCTCTATATATTTTCCTGTCATATCCCATGTCTCTCACAGGTACTATTTCTTCTTCATATAATTTCCTTACTGTTACGTCCTCTACTCGAGCCCTTTTACGAGTTTCGGCAAATCGCTTCTTCACATCTACGGCAGCGGTATCGGATTAGATTTTCTGGATGTATTCGATCTTGGTTTATATTTCTAATATTGAAACCTTTTTTGGTTAAGGTTCTGAAAATTCCATATTCACTTCTGTAATATTCTTCTCCACTTATGAGAATTTGATTATGTGCAGATTTAGACCTTTGATTGTGCAAATGAAAAATGCCATGATCCTATAGGCTTTAAAACAGTATCAGCTTCTTTACGCCAATCGTAAAACTCAAAATCTGTTTCAGCCACTAACAACGTCTCATGGGTTTTTATAATATTATAATCATTTGGATTTGCAACTTTTTGAACTGATTTTCTAAAATACCAAAGACTATCTGGATGAATAAACGAATGTCCACGCACAGGAAACAATATCTCGATAGATTGGATATTGTTTGGCGCTTCTAAAAACCATCTGCAACACATGGCCAAAACAATTTTGTTTTTGTTTTGCCCTCCACAACCGTCTGCAGCCAACCTTATTTTCGTATAAGAAAATAAGTCCGTATTTTGCAATCGGTGAAATATGGCAAATGCCACTTGATTGGACCCTTTCCCATATACATCTTCAGTCCAACAGTATCTAAAGCAATTTTCGGTACTTAATTGGCTTGTCGATGATCCTTGCACTACAGTGAAATTATGTAAGTATAACTGGCGGCTATAATATGCCTGCTGATCTGGTATTTTGGGAAGACACAAATTCTTTTCCATGTCTAACGACAATATAAGTGTATCTGAATCTACATCTTTCAGTAATGTCAAAAATGCTGAAGCCCGAAGTTTATGCACTCTCACATGTCAATTCGAGCTCCTCCAAGTCCAAAATTAAAATTTGTAATGAATATTTGTCGAAAAAATTATCTATTTACTTTGACTTCATCCGCCGCCTGTGAGTTATTGATGGAAAAAAGTTTATTGGTGCTTAGGTTGGAAGATAAATACTTTTCCTCTGCAATAGTGAGATTCTACACACTGCAGTGAGCAAATAAATTTAATGACTGCTTGTTTTTTATCGTAAAATAATTTTGCTTTCCTGTCTCCACCTCTTTTTTCACATGCATTATTCCCATTTGTTACAAATTGGCGATATATGAAACTCTTGCTTTGGTTACATGCAAAACGTTTAAAAATGTCATTTAACATACAGGTACGCAACGATAGTGAGAACCTCGAATAGTAAATTTTGTCTGCATTTCCCGTTTTCCCCCTCCATTGCCGTTTTTAGGTTTCCTGGGTAGTAGGGACATATATTTAAGGATAAAGTTTTCTTGACTAGTCTTAGTCAAGTTTTCATGAAATTTGTTGTTAAATTTGAATAAGTCTCCCATTTTCAACGTAGCACACATAAATGCTTTGGAGTTATGTCCACATTCAGGAAAGGTAGGTAAACTTTTTGCCGAATACCTAAAACAATATGACAGTCCTAAATATGTATTTAAGATAATAATAGCCTAAACTTTTAATTTTATTTAAGTTTATATATGTAATATATGTAATAAGTTTTGTAGATACACTGAACCGTTATATTTATTTACCCAATGGTTACGAAAAATGTATTTAATAAAAATAATGTATCCTTAAAAAGTTGTTATTAAAATTAACGCTGGAAATAGAAGAGCCGGAAGTAGCAGGTACGATTCATATCTACACCGACGGTTCTAAAACGAAACAAGGCTCAGGATGTGGAATATACTCCAGATTCTTAAACCTAAACATAAAATGGATTGTGAGCAATTGTGCCAGTGTAGTTCAAACAGAGCTAACGGGGATTTTCATAGCAGCAAAAGAAATAACCAGAAACAATATCACTGGAAGAAACATGCTCATCTATACAGATAACAGACAAGTACTACTCACCCTGAACAGACCACGAATTTATTCAGGGTTACTATTAGAATGTCACGAATCTTTGGTCGAAGTATCCATCAACAACGTGGTCACCTTAAGATGGATTAAAGGTTACGCCACATCGAAAGGTAACCGTCTTGCTGATTCACTAGCCAAGAAAGCAGCCAACCAAATACTTTTTAAACCTGGCCTGACAAAATCGGCAGTGACAGACCAAATCAAAGAACATTCCCTTGTGAAATTTAAGGAAAGATGGGATGAAACAAGAAACTGCAGAGTTGCCAGGGAGCTCTAAGTTATCCTGACAACACTGCAGCAAAGAAATACTTGACTATAACTAGACAGAATCTGCGCCTAGTCGCAGGCATTCTGACTGGTCATTGCCAAGTACGAAAGCATCTCCATATCAGGGGGCTGTCAGAATCCGCACTCTGCAGAGGGTGTGAACAAGAAGATGAGACTATCGAGCATATCCTTTATGATTGCTCGACGTTCTCATTTATTAGAAAATTTGTGTTCGGCGAGTATCGGCTAACACCGGCCGATATAAGAGAAGCACCTCTTGGCGACGTTGTCAACTACATTAAATCTGTAGGATGGCTCAGGAGCTAGCCGGTAGCTACTTTAGTAGCATCCATATTTGTGACGTGTATAGGCGCGCGGGCTACACTTGTAGACTGCATCCCGAACAACTTCTACGTGTCGATTTGACATAAACATGATTACATGCATTTTTAGCTGTCCCCCTAAATACTCATGAGGTAAACAAAGACAATAAATTGACTACAAACGCAACAAAATTGTTTTTATATTCATACAAAGAAAACAGAGACAAATAAAAACCATTTAAATAATATGAAAACAAATTGCTAGTAAGTTGCAAAATTTGTTATAAATAAAAGTAAGTCCAAGTCAATGCGAAAATCGTTGGCGAGTCTTGGAACGAGGCTATAAAGAATACGTAGATGATTAGTCTTCCACTGGCAGAGGAAAACATTTTTTTGTGTATGAGTAGGAAATGAATTTTATTTGGGGTAAGAAAAAAATGTATTTCCTCAACTTTTACTTGAGGCAGATACGCTGAAAAAGAAAATATAAATAGGGCCGACGAATCGGAAAAAAGAAGTATAGGTTCTGTCGAAACTGAAATAGTTTCAACCCAAAATAAAAAACTACGGAAAAGAAGGTCTACAGTGTTAAAAACTAGGACGAATCAACAAAAAAAAATAATATTAGGATGAGAGACTTGCAATCGAGAACAAAAATTGAACAAATGAAGATAAGAAATGAATTAATAAAAGCAAGAAATGTGATATTAAAAGAAAAAAGTGCATTTGTCATGACGTCTAGGTTGGTGTTTGTTATCTGTCCAGCACGTGCTTCAATCGTACCTCTTGCTGGAAAATGTTCATATCACCTCTGTGAAGGTCACAGAAAAGATATGCTAATTGTCATTTGGCTAGGCCGCTGCTAAAGGGCTGTCAGATACTCAAATTTCTAATTATTTCTTAAAATTTACAATGCACATTAGATTAGATTACTCACTTGAAATGTCTTAGTGGCTCACATACTTAAGCATTTAACAAGTATTTATCTTTGTATTTCGTGACCGCGATTCAATTGCTTTAATGGAGAATTGAACTACATGGTCGCGAAATGTGACTGTATATTGAATGCTTAAGCATGTGAGCCAACGGGACATGTCGAAGTGAGTTTTCTTATCAAATATGTGTATTATTGTAAATTTGAGGGCGTCTGACAGCCTTTCAGCAGTAACCTAGCCTTCTGGCGATTTGCATACCTTATCTGTGACCTTCAAAGAAGTGATTCCTTGACAGGGGTTCTGTACTTAATTCTTGCGGATAAGACTTCTTGATGGTCCCGCTAATTACTTCACAACATTCCAGTCCGAGGTAGGATCATACCATCTTGCGAGTCAATCTGCCAACAAAAAATAATTTCCACACTTTTGCTCTAATGTTCGATATAAAGTAGAGTTTTTTAAAACTCAACCGTCATGTACCGAACCAGGATATCCCACAAATACATCAATAATTCTCTTCTAGTGGTCACATACTACTTGCATCTAAAAGATGATCAGAAAATAGAAATAAGCATTCCTTTGTTTTAAATTATTAAATGACATGTATTGAATAAAATCCTTTTCTATTCATGTAGGAGTCAATGTCAACATCAGGCTTATTAATTTTAATATGACATTCGTCGATTGCGCCGATGGCCGATTGACTTGAAAATGTTCCTCACTTACTCTTTTTTCATCATTCGTTGGCCATTTAATAATTTGGACGACATATTACTTAAACAAAATATTACACGTCGTAAAATTCTGTATAAAGAACTTAAAGTAATGTTAAACCTATCTGCAACATCACGAAAACTAACAGTTTGGGTACCCATGTACCATAGTGTGATAAGAACCTAAAATTATTAAAATTTACATGAAGGAAGTATATTTATCACCACCTTACTTGTTTAGTAGCTGTAGTTTTTCCAAAATGCCCGAACTGTATTTTAAATAATCACTTTAACATTTAAAAAAATATATGATACATACCAAGAAAATTTGTATTTTTTACTCGATGTGACATTAAAATATCTTCCTCATCAGACGAATAGGACATTTCCGAATTTTTTCACTTTAAATATTACTCATTTTCTTATCTCTTAAAAAATATATTAATGTACGATTTTTAATACTTCATATGTCGATTTTTATCACAAATACCTACTTACAAAAAGAAAATGTACTACACAACATAACTTCAATTTAAAGACATACGAGTACAAAGCCAACTAATCTAACTTAACTTAAATCCAAAACATTTAAAAAATGACACGAACGATAAATTACCTAAAAGCTTATGTGCTGATTATTTGTACAAGCGATAAACCTCTGATATATTTGACAATCCGCTGATACATTCATGTACGAATCAGAAAATTTGTTGGAAGGTTTTACTGACAGTTCATTGGATTATCCCTGGCTCTGTAGGAGCGGACTATTTTCAATGCGTATGTCGTCTGACGTCCATCTGATGATCAGAAGACCTGTTGGAACATCTACGTGTTTGCTTGAGAATTGTCACTGTTCGAAAAGACGTAGTCTACAATCGTACAATGTTTTTAATTTTAAATTTAAAACCAAAATTGAATATTTTTATCTACATCAGCTCCGAATTGAGATACCAACCCTTGTACCTAAAATTTCAATTACACTAGCATTGACACTTGTAATTTGATAACTTTGTTCTGGACCACCGCGAGTTCCGAGTTTGTAACACTTCTCGTTGACAATTTTTTGTTTCGTTCTTTTTGGTGTTTTCATATTTTTTCTTAAATTCGTGGAGCATCCAAAAACTACGCCACTTTGATTACTAAATTAATTTTGTATCTTAGTTCAACATTCGTTTTTCAATAATCTTCCGTTTGTATCTGTTTTCTTACATTCAATTAGATCTTTGACTTCAGCCACAAGAGCAACTAGCAGCGATTCTTCCTCGCTGGAAAAATTGGGTGCCCGTTAGAGTTTGGTATTCATTTTTTCTTACGATTAAAAATTAAAAATGTTCAGATTATGATTAGCAACGCGTAGTGTCGCGTAGTCAAACTCACAAAGTCTAACTTTTGAGGTTATATATTCTTTTTAAGTGAAATTTCCTATAAAATTGGGTTAACCAGCCGACAACATTTGTCATTGAACTGAGTTTACTTAAAAGTAGCATTGTACAACACAATTTGAAATTGAGGATAGGTTCAACCTTCATCAGAGTTTAATTGAACCAAGATTTAGGGTGAGATTACAGAAAATGCACGTCTGCAACTTTGCAGATCTGCAAATACGGCGGACTCAAGATACGAGTATCAATTTTTCGTATTCCAAAAAAGCATTTGCAAAAATCCGCCATATTTATTGTGAAGAAACAGGTTTATTACCACGGATTTTTAGACTTTCACTGTCATATATGTCAAATTACGCCATATTTAATTTTTTATTTATTTCACTTCACTTGAACACAATAATTTAAAGTGGACAATATACAGGGTGTCTGTAAAAGGTCTTTACAAAAACATACCACATATTCCTTAGACCAAAATAAGTCGATTTAAGTAAAATTACCTTAGTACAAAGTTGCTTCGTTTGGGCTCCAGAGGGCCTTGAAGTTACAATTTTTAAATCGTTTTTCCCATATAAATTTAAAACGGCATATGCGATTTTGCTGAAATTTGGTATATTGGTAGAGTTTTATGTGGCAAAAAAAAAGGTATTAAAATTTTGTCCGATAATAATACATAGGCGTAGAACTTGATTTTTTTAATAATTGCACCTTTAAAAATTCTACGCCAATGGAAGAAAAGGAGTTTGAGTATGAAATTTAGATTGCGCAACTCATTTACTTTAAAAAAGGTACTCTTGATAAGACTCGATTACTCTCATGGTTTTGACGAAATTTGCATTTTAGTAATTTTAGAACATAAACAATAATTATTAAAATACAAACTTTGTCAAAACAATGAGAGTAAATCGAGTGTTATCAATGGTACTTTTTTGTAGTAAATAAGTACACAATCCAAATTTCATACTCAAACCCCTTTTCTGCCATTGGCGTAGAATTTTTAAAGGTGCAATTAATTATAAAATCAAGTTCTACGCATATGTATTATTATCGGACAAAATTTTAATACAATTTTTTTTGCCACATAAAACTCTACCAATATACTAAATTTCAGCAAAATCGCATATGCCGTTTTAAATTTATATGGGAAAAACGATTTAAAAATTGTAACTTCAAGGCCCTCTGGAGCCCAAACGAAGCAACTTTGTACCAAGGTAATTTTACTTAAATCGACTTATTTTGGTCTAAGGAATATGTGGCATGTTTTTGTAAAGACCTTTTACAGACACCCTACCCTGTATATCTAATAACTTTACTATGAAAGATATCAATATTGATATTGACGAGGATAATGAACTAGCCAAAGGTTGGTTATAGTTTCTCTTAATTTTGTACTTTTCTTGGCATGGTTTGATATATGATACAGGAGAACTAGTTGGTAAATATTCTACCACTTCTAAAATAATGGATAGGTTGCAGAATATTGCAAGTAAAATTATTGCGTCAGAATGCTTGAATCATAGTGGTGAAGAATTAAATAATCAGCTAGCAGATTTAAAACCAAAAACAAAGAAAAAATGAGCTAATTTAAGATAACATGAGGAAGCCACAGGAAGCGGAAACCTTTTAAAAATATCTCTAACTTTACTATAAATTACGGGTTCAATTGTGGTTACCGGTGTAAATGAAGAGTTAGATATTTTTATACAAAGTGCAGGTAACCTATATTTTAAATTAATAATACTACAGTTTCTCAAGCAGATGAAGCCTCAGTGGCCCTGGAAATAAAGTACCGCCAAATAGTTTTAAGACAAAAATAATCAGAGAAAAGTAAAAAACTATAAAAGAAACAACACACAAAAGGCCTCTCAAACAAAAAAGAAATGGACCAGTCACATAAAATATAATGAAAAAACTACTTATATTAAAAAAACAAGAAGTAGATTTTTTAATTAAATTGCTTCTTCAGTTTACCTAGAGTAACTGATATTTTTTAAAAACTTTTAATCCTAATCTTATTTTTAACTCTTAAAAGACTGTTTTATTATTGTGCCGTTATTAGTTATTAATTAAGATTATTTTATATCTGTGTGGAATACTAAACATTATTTTTAGGTAGATATATACCTATATAGTTTTGTTACGTTATCAATACATTATGTTCTTTAACAATTCAGTTTTGTATGGAGTAATCCACAAAAAAATGTTGGAAAAATTCATGTATTTGGAGCATGTCAATAAAATTATTCTTTTCAGGATTTATGACATATCTGTCTGTCAGTCATGGCCTACCTTAAAAACATGTTTTGTTGACTACTCTTTATTTTTTGAGCTGCTTAGTATTTACATTTATTTATTTTTATGTTCTTCTCAAAAAACTAGTAACAAGTATACTAAATATACTCATATTTGAATGTGATATTTTTGTTCCATCCAAGCGGTCCATAAATTTATAGCTACCTCTAGCAGGGTAAATACATTCCTACCTCTATTGGAACCAGCGCTGTTCCGATGAGGCGAAGAAAAAGACATTCATAAAGTTGCATTTCGCGTATTTGCAATTAGCACATGTTTACTTGCGGTGGTGAATATCGCCACACTCATTATGTTATTCTTTTATTTCATTATGTGAACTATTTAGTTAATAAAGTGTTATACATCAAATTACCTATTTTAACCAACCATATACTACATAAAGCAAAGTGTAGTACAGTCAGAAGAAAAATACCGGTAAGTGCGATCCCATTTACCACATGTATCCTTTTTATTCTTGAATCAGTGTAGGGTAGGTGGGGGCAAAGCCACGCAATTTTTAGTTAAACCGAATTTTGGGAAGTTAGAAGTGTTAAGTAGGGATCCTACCTATAACCTAATTACTACACTTGTGGTATCTGAACATGTGTTAATTAAAAATGGTCATTGTTTTTTTTTGCAGGAATTTGCCTCACCAAATGGGGCGGACACCCGCGGTGCGGGGATTTACCTCAATGGTGGGTAAAGTGGGTTAAAAAGAAAATAATTTCATGACAATGTTGTTATTAACATGTTTTAATATTTTATTTCTAGAGAAACTGAAAAGTATTTTTTTATTTAAAAAATGTGAAGCTAGGTATAAAAAAATAAATTAGGTTAGAACTGTAGTGACAGTCCACTAGTACAGTGTAAAGTTAGTCAAATTTTCTGTGAATGTTATAACATTATGAAACCTAGCAGAGTTAATCTCAGTAGGTTTTGACAATTTAAAAACAATATCGTCTTCAGGAATAAAGGACTTTTTATTCATTTCCGAAAACTTTTAAGCTTGCGGTAATTTCTTATAAATTACTCCTTCATAACCTGCTTGATAAGTATAAATGATCCTAGCTACGTAGTGTCGAAAAGAGTTTTTGGCTTACCTTCAACTTTAACTATAGCGTACTCATTTGGCAACATCATTTTAGAGCTCTGATGTAAGTTCTTAATCTCTTCCTCTTGGGCGTTTATCTCATTATCAGATTGAAAATCAGAGCTACTGCCATGTATAGAATAATCTGCGTCGGTGTCTGAAGAGTCTAGTTCTCTGGAAATATTCTTACCCTTTTTTGAATTGACGGTTGAGAAGAGTTGTTTAGTAACGTTTCCTATTGTACATTTTTTCAGCCAGTTCTTTTTCCATACGTTCTTTATTAGGTGTGGATGTAAGCAACTCAAAAGTCAACTATTTTCCTTTGCGTTTTTTCCTTATTTTTATTTTCTATATCCAGGAGTTAAATGAGCTTGATTGGGGCGAACATCTTCACTCAAAGATATCGTTCCATTAGCAATATGGCTGCTGCTTGGTTGCATATCCTCGTCTATTGCAACAGCAAGTGGATTTTCTTTTAAAGGTATTTCAATAGCAGGGTGACTGCTGCCTTGTTGCATATCTATTTCTGTTGCAACAGTAAGTGATACTGAAGTGAATTGTGGATCATACGCTTTAGGAATAGCTTGTACAATATCTAGCTCATCAACATCATTATTAAATATTGCCATTCGATCATCATCGTCTCGCTCTTCTTTTGGCTGCTGGTCTGTCACTTCTGAGGGTAAAAAGTCCGCGTCTCAGAATATATTCCCGTTCAAGGGATAAATACCTATTGCTTTATAAGCTTGAACTGCATCTTTAACAGTGCTTGCCTTTTCAAAAGCTACCTTGAATGCCTCAGCAACATTATAAACGCTGAAGGTTTCTCCTGGATGAGGAACATCCCATGAATCTACAGTTGCATCCATAATAGGCCTTGATCGACCGGAAAATATAACGATCAAGAGGTTCTGTTTCGTGACTACTGTGGGGTGGATTTGGTTAGATTTTGCAAAAGTTACTGCCTCTAGACTTTTGTGAGAAACATGATTATCAAGTATGAGCAATATTGGGTTACCCTCGCTTGGTTTTGCATATTTTAAGAAGTGTTTTAGCCTCTGGATAAAGGTAGGTAGATGCGTTTATATATCCTCTGTCGGTTACAACTATGTCGCATCCTAACGCCGCCTTTAATTAAAAGCCGATTTTCTCTTTTTCGTGCGTAAATGAAGAACGGAGGTACAAAATAGCCAATAGGACTCATTGCAAACTCAGCTGTTACTGTTTGTCCTTGTTCTGTTGCTACTGCCTTTGCGACTTCTTTTTTTGCAGTGGGGGCAACGTGTTTTGGAAGTATATTTTGAACTGTTTGTACCCCTGTTTCGTCCATATTGAAGATATGGTTGGTAGTAAAACTGTACTTCTTCATGACTTCCTCCAAGTTACCAAAATATCGATAAACTTTTACCTTAGTAAACCCCATTATTCGAGCAACGCTAGTTTTCCCGGGAACACGCAGAGATAGCTTGTTTCTTTTCATGAAGGCTCGCGCGAAATCCCTCCCAGCTAGTCAGCCGAAAATCGCTTGTCCAGTTCAATACACTACCAACTCTGTTTCCTTATCTAACGAAAAGGTTGCCCGAACTCGTCCGAGTTTTTGCACTCCTCCTTTTTTGAGTCGATCTCTGTGTTGACTCATAAAACCCGACTTCTTCGGTCATTGGCAAGTACTGGGTTTTTCTTTTATAGTTTATAAAATAAAAATATAAATTAAAATGTGCGTAAAATATTTTATAAACAAAATGTGGCAAATTCCCACATCATGAGGCAAGTCCCCGAATGCAGGACTTTGCCTCTAAAAGGCTGCGGAGTTTTGCCCCACTCCGTATTGTTTACAGCCATTCATTCTTACATTTGTAAACAAGGCGAAAAAAATTCAAACACATAGAAATAAAGCTCAAGATGCATACTCACTGAGGTTTTGCTCTTAAAAAAAATCGTAATGACATGCACATATAACCGAACTAAATTAATATCAATTTTCATGTTAGACTAGACGTTATCAAGGCCGACCTGCCGCATGGCGGCGGTTCTGAGGTCGTTCCCGGGCTATTCAAAAAGCCAGTGCGTGGCTTTGACCCCACCTACCTTCGAGTAAGATATAAGTCAAATAATGAAATAAAAGAATAACAGAATGAGTGTCGTGATATGCACTACCGCAAGTGATCATTTGCTAATTGCGAATGCGTGAAATGCAACTTTTTATTAATGTCTTTGTCTGCGTCTCATTGGAACGACGCTGGTTCCAATAGAGGTATGTAGAGGGAATGTATTTACCCTAGTAGAGGTAGTTATAAATAAATGGAGCGCTAAGATGGAACAATTTTGTTTTTGGATTTTGGTATTTATTAATACATAAATCTATTTTGAATTATCTGTAAACGAACAGCCTCGCCTCTTATAAAATTTATATTTTGAATATCGTTGCGTTCTTTATCTCCATCCTGCATATTATCAGCGTCATCATAGTGTTTTCTGAAGTTGCGAGCCAATCTTATGTTCTGTAACATTACACAACATGTAACAATTTTAACAACTTTATTTGGCTTGTAGAGAAGATTACTCTCCATACTGATTTCAATACTCCAAATACTATTTCTACTAAATTTCTGCTATGTATATATATACAAATTATTGTAACTTTCTTCCATATCAATATTTGAATTTCCAGCTGATGTAATAATAGAGTGCTCTAATTGATAACCACAATCACCAAGCAACCATGAATTTACAGGCAGTTCAGGAAGTGCAAAAATCTTCCACAGTTATTGTAAATGAATGAATCATGGACACTTCCAGGATACTGAGCTACAAGATATATAATTTTTATGTTGCTAGTGCAAATCTAAAAAAAAATATACTTAAGATTTAATGTACTTCAGTGAGAAATTTCATTTTATAAATTTACGAAGTACCTACTTGCCAATTGTATATTTAATGAATATCTCCCTTTTCAACTTAAGAAAGCATTCCAGTGTCTCTAATGCTGCAAATATATATATACAATCTATAAAAAATATTATAAAGTAAGGTATCTATTAATATTATACCCTTGTACTTATTGACCTGGAAATTGATAGTCTTTTTTTGATTTGAATTTCTTCAATAGTTCTAAGGAAGGTAATATATTCTCTTCTATGTCGTATAAATACATTCAAAAAGTTTGAAAATATGTTACTCTCTGTAGGTTGTCTCAATTTGTGGAAAATACTTTCACAACATTTTGGAAATTTCTACTAGCCAAAAGATGCGGTGAAACTAATACCTAAAACGTGTAGATAATTTTAGATTTAGAAACAAGTAGAGCTATTTTAACATACCTGAACTCTTTCAATTATTTGTTGTTCTGACAATTCTTCTTCGTTACCTCCACTTATCATATCAATATCATTTTAAATGCTAATAAATTCATCAAGTAAAGTTATTGTATTTTTTAATGTGTCCGGTAATTCTAAAATTTCTACATCAATTATTTTTTTTCTTTTTGATATAGATTTTCTAAATATTTAGTAAATGTAACCAACGACGATTTTGTACTACCACGTGTTTCTTTTTTAATTTTTTTAATTCAGCCATTTTATAGTTATTTATTGAATATTATGGGAGACTATCAATTAAAATATAGATATTGCCTTGAATAATAATTGTAGTTAAATTTTACAATTTGTGACTCAATCTGACGCAGTATTGTTTATTGAATGTTATTGAAAGGTTTTAAAAATAGGAACACTCACCACTTATAGACCAGACAAATAATGTTGTACCTATTATCCAGTGTGTAGGATCTTCGCGCTTTCTTTTGCTGTTTGCACCGATTGTATCGACCAGTTGAATTATCGGTTTGCCTGCCGCTGAGAATATGGCGTTGAGACGTTCTAGTGCTGACTCGCTTTTATCTTTTGTTGAATAGTGAGCTAGAAAAAAAAGTATATGGCATGTAATGGGCACGTATCATCACATATGACGACATATCGCGCTAATTCACTGCCCGTTGCCAATTAGACAGAATCTTGGTGGTCTGCCTTGCAGGACCAAGAGTAGTCTTCATTCTATGCCGGAACAATTATTGACCGGTTTAAAAGAAGAGTATAAACGTAATCATTATCAAAACAAAACAATTAAGGATTGAATAGGTATATTAAAAAAAGTAAAAAAATATATTTTAAATAAAATATATTACTTTTTTATAGCTCCTTGGTGGTGAAAATTCTCATGGACACTCTCTTGCCTGCTAAAAACACCACCTTCACTGTTTCCTATTACACCGAAAAACCGCTCTCGCATTTTTGTCTATGATGTAATTTCATTATACGTTAATATATTTTTCTTCTATAGGTAAATAATCTTAACATTTTCTTAAATAAAGATCGTCCATTATTATTGTCTGAAACATTCATGTCTGGAACACCCTCGAGTTGTAAAGTAGTCTACTTCTCCAAACTGTCGCCCAACCCATTGTTCAATATTAGGATGAGTGTCCATGTCCAGCATCCCTTCGAACTAGAATCTCACATATCTTCCTTTGGCTTTAGACGTGTCCTTGAGAATTTGCAAGTTTATTTAATTAATGAATATATCTGAGAATTGATACACTTCTTGTACCTAGGTAGGTACTTGTGTATGTCTTTATTGTCACTGATTTTACTTGTTTATTTTTTTAATATATTTAATAATAATCATGTTCGCTTAATATATTTAAATTCTGAGCAATTTTAAAGGATTGACTGGTGAACCATTTATAAATTGTGCTGCTTATTTTGGGTTATATTTTAGTGGAGAAGAAGGAAAGTTGTATTTTTTATTTTCTTATTGGCTAGTTCCCCTAAAAAATATATACTTAAGTTTTGTATTCAAAACAACAGCTGTTAAACTAAATTCCTACCTTGAGGTAACTGATTTTCCTTTTATGAAAGAATACGCTTTGTAATTTTCAGTGGTTGACAATATGTGGTAACATATGTTCAAAATCAGTGTTCTTACATATTTCAACCTGAAGTTTCAATTCATTTAGCTCAGTCTTGATTTTTTCTTTACTTAGATTCACATCAGTATTTTTTTTTCTATCAGCTAAGATTGCTAATCACTGACATTTTTCTAGTTCAGTAGCTGATTGAGCGAATGGTTGCCTTACAATTTCCGACAACTGTTCCACTTTCTTCAAATTTAATATGAATAAAATGAATACGCTTGCAAATCATGGCTTTTATATAACAATCAACACAATTACAATCATATTTATGTATGCATATTTGACAAAATGGACACCGTAGATGTCAATTTGAAACTTCACACGGATTCTTTTTTGATACATCATATTCATTACTATTTGAGCTCAAAGTCCAAATATTTACATCATTTAAATGAATATTAAAGGAACTAGTTAAAGCAGATCTGTGACGTTTGTGAATGTTCTGAATATGAAAGTTGTTATATCCTTTTGTAAATTTTATTATTCTGGAAACTATGTTATCCCTTACATATTTTAACACCGCAGTTATTCCTTTGTCTAATCGATTTACTATTTTTCCTTCCAAGTAAAAATATTTTACAGTTTTATGCACACTTTCAAGTATCTAAAAAAGAAAATAAACAATTTATCTTTTAAATTTATAGCAAAATAGCTCTAACATGAACCTTTTTTTTTTCTATTACAATTTTCAAGCAAAGTTTATTTCAAAAGTACTGAGTTAATGAACATGCAAAATAGGCTAAATACAAAATGCTATAGTAGGGTTAACAATCGTCATCTCTAGTTAAACAAAAATAAACATGCAAAAATTTGCTAAAAAAATAGACCATCACCATATTTGTATTTATTCCAGAATTCTTTCTTCAGCAGTATGCAAATAATTTGACGATTATTCACATAATTATCCCTAATATAGGTTTAAAAATTGTTGGTTTCTGGTTCTGTAGATGTTAATTTTTTTTCAAAATCTTCTATATTTAAAGTGTTCTATAATACTTTTAACATTTGGTAAATTTATTTTCTCTTTTCTAAGTTCGAAATTTTATTTAAATGACACCTCTAGGCTCTGTCAATATGCCATGAACAATACAGCTATTGCATATCCACACCTCCATAACATTAAGCCAAGCATTTATATAGACAGTGGTAATGTCTTTGTTATATAATAAGTTGGGATGTTTTTCTTTTAATTCTTTAAATTACATTTTTTTTGGAGGTTTTTTTATTCTGAATATGTTTTTGAAATAAAATAATTATTATTTTCTTTTGTTGGTCTGTCCCCGAACTCGTTTTTTTATAGCATAGTTTGAGTTTATATTGCTAATTGTGGATGGTTTTTGACTAAGCTGAAACATGTTTTCAGATTCTTTCTTTATTTCTTCTATTTTCAGTCTGTCGTCATTTTCTAGTAAATTTTATTCCATTTCAACCGGTATTTTCTCTAAGGATTTTCCTGTAAATTTGTTGCCGAGCCTTTCTCCATTAATAATTAAAATTTTAGTAATTTTTGCTGTCTGATATATATCTTCGGGGAGTCTATATGACTTCTTGTAAATTCCTGGAGCGTGCCCCATAAACGACGATAATTACTCTAGTTATTTTCAGACATATTAAAAACTTAAGAGGAATAATCAGCACGTGACCTTCTGTATTTTATGTATTAACGTTTTTGAAAGACCGGGCAGACTGGTATAATATAATGGCAACAGTGTGCGCTTCGAAGGAATCCGGAACTACAGGCCAGCATGGGACTCAGATATATTTTATTAAATCATCCTTTAATAGTTTTATGTCTTAATTTTCTATATTTTTGTATTTAATTACTACTTTTAAGTGTTTTGTAACACTAAATAATTACTGATAGTATTTAAAAGTTACTATATAAATTCCAAAATAAAACGACAATTTTTCAATTCTAAGATGGCGGATTCCCAAAATTTATTAAATAGAAATATTTATAAATATAAAATTTATTAAAATATTTACAATGTAAATACATTTAAAAAACAATAATAAAATTTTATTTTTTCACTTTATCCCTAATAGGTAGTCCTTTAGGGAAAAGTGGATCCACTTACTCTGGCAATAAAAAGTTGTGGTAAAATGTGTTTAATTTATTTAACATTTTTTCTTGCCAAAACTATCTAAAAAAGTGTTATAATAAATATTTAAAATATACCAGCAATAATACAATGACTTTGTTTTTGTTAAAATGCAATAATTTCTTGAACCTTTTAGTTAGTTCTTTAGTAAAAGATAATCAATGATATTTTCAAACAATTTGGCTAAAAATACCTTTAATGGAAAATATATATTTTTTCATACGATATAACTGTACCTGTTCTACCAACATGCCGAAGGGACTCCTGACAACAAAATAGCAAGTTTGTTTATTTGACAAAGCTAACTGACCTTGAACTTGATAGAAGTAGTTGTGGTTTTTGAAATGAGGTATGGGGATTTAATTTCTACAAGGGCATTTTCACCAATTATTTCATCTGGACTTGCACCTAAATAAAAATGTTCACGACCTATGAAAAAACCACATCGTGTGATTTTAATAGAGAATTGTTTTTCAAAATCCACGATTGCACGAGTTTCGCTTTCATTGCCGTGTATTGTAGCTTTATTTTCCGCAAAGTTGCCATAAAAAAGGTTTTTAATAGTATTAATGAGCGAAGTTTGCAGTCGCATTTTACAAATCTGACCAAAACAAAAGACTTCCGTCGTTTATTATTGAATTTAAAAACTATATCTAAAATTTCATAATATTTCTTCATTTAGTGTTGACGTATTTCGTTACGGCGATTTTCAAGATAATAGGTAGGTGATGACGCCTCTTAAGAAAGGGTTGGTTAATGTGTTCTTAGTCGAGTTGATATAAGTACTTTTGGATTTTTGGCACCACATGAATTTGCATAATGCTGCAGTATTTTATATCCCGTAAAGGGCTTATTAGAACCACAGCTGCTTACAAAAATAGTAGTTTGTGGAATAAGTGGGTACAATCTATTCGAGTTGTACAATATATTTCTTCTACGACCCACTATCGAAAATCTACAAATTTAAAAAATTAGTTTAGGTTATTAAGAGAAAATAACTAATTTTAAAATAATTTATGACTTTTACTATTTTATAAAATAAAATAAACATGAAAAAAAAATGAAGATTCAATTAGTTCCCCTCCCAGATTCGAACATGAGGCTTTCCCGTGGAATACAGATGCCGTATCCCTAGCTCCACCTCAACATTTTCAGTTTTAATACTCGTATTTAAATTAGTTTGATTCAAATTTACGATATTTTCAAAATGTTGACCAAATAAAAATAGAAATGCTATTATTTATCGATTCTACAAAAAGATAACTCATTTTAATGTATATTTAATATCAGTAACTAAAAAAATTTATAC